TAATTTTGACAGCACTAATATATATATATATATATATTTATATATATAATTCTCAGTTGGTTATCTCCCTCTGGGCAGGATTTCATCATGATGGGGAACTATGGCAAACTGTTTTTAACATAAAATCAGCTTTAACCCCCTTGCATTAAAGATATTTTGAATCGTTTCTTTGACTAAACGTATACGTTTATTAAGATGTATATTTTAACTAGGCAAAATACTAATTTCAGGTACCTCTAATTCAATTCTGGAAGTGAGAAGGGAGGTTCAATGGTCAGCCCAGATTCTGTGGGAATCTTGGAAGCTCTGATATTTAGCGAAGTTAGGAACTCCAATTTGAGGGGGGCCTTGTTAGTCCTTGAATCCAGACTGTGTGGTGAATCCATGTGCACACCACATTGGAGGGCGGACAGGTTGACTAGCGTTGGACCCGGAGGAGTAATGGAGCGGACTGTCACTCGGATTTCCAATGGGTACTTGAACTGAACATATGGAGGTTTTCCCCTGCTCAGTGTAACTCGGTTTATCCTTCCAGTGTCATGATGGGTTCACTGAAGGAGACCCAGTTATGCAGAACACCACTGACGGACACAAGGATGAAAAGTTGAACAGTTTATTAAAGCACAAAACACACAGAATGTACTGATTCTGGTTCGGGCCTGGATACTGGTTCACCGGAGTCTGCGTGAGAGACAGCACAGTTAGTGACTGCTGACAGGGTTTGATTACCACAGGTTCACTGATTGTACCTTGAGGGTTCTTGAGGTTAACTTTGGGAGAGTCACTGTTGGTACTGGAGAAGAGTTTGTCAGCAGAGTCTGTTTGCTGCTTCACCGTCTCGCGTCTTAGCTTGAGCAGACCTTGGCTTGGATTTCCAGCTCTAGTCCAGAGCTGCTTGGGGGTTCTCTGTGAATCTTCAGGGTTTGGCTCAGAGGGTCGGCTCGGCAGGTTAGCTCCTCCAGAGTTTTCACGGAGGAGGCACGGGTTTCCTGGAAAACAGAGACTGTAGTTAGAATCCAGACTGGATTCAAAGTCATGGAGATACACTGAGAATCTAGGCTTTAGCGCTGACCAACTGGAACAACACTGCGGCGTTGAGGCAAGGTCTGAAGACAGCTTATGTAGTGGATCCTCTGATGATCTTAACGAGCTGCAGCTGTGCAGGAGGCTCCCTCAGAGGATCCACGGCGGACTCTGCTGGAGAAAGATGGGATTTCTCCAGCTCCCAACATCCAGGGGAGAGAAGGTCCAGGAATCCAGTGACACAGGAAAGCTTCCTGCCGAGGAGCAAAGACAAAAACACGTTAGACTCAGAGGAACAAAGCAAGATTAGACTCAGCTAAACTCAGCTTGGCTAGAGTACTCAAAACTGGCAAACACTCTGGCGTCGAGGTAGTGACAGTCCACTGCTCAAATACGCCTCCAGATAATGATCCAACGAGCCGCAGGTATGCAGGGAAGGACAGTGAAGACAGGGCACCTCCTGGTGTTGGAAAATAACACACACAAAAAGGGCACATAACTTGGATTCCTAACAGGTCCACTGTCCTTCATGTTTCAGATGTCTCTCTACTCTACTTGTAATGATTGTATTACCTCGTCAGCAGCCATCAAATGCTGCTAAAGTCTGTTTGTCACCTTTTCATTTAGGTCAGGTGTGTGGAGGCATGGAAGCACCTAAAACATGCGAAACAAGGGTTTTTTAACCCTAAGGATCATGCTTAAGAAACCCTGTCCTTAACCCACAATGCTGGAGTAAAACATGGTACCGCATGCGTAGTGCTGGAGTCAGCTCCCACTAATATGCTATCATCACCCCACCTCCAGTTATTAAATCCAGGGTCTGTATTATTGCTGTCAGGTCTCAACATTGAGACTTATGATCTGCAGGTCTTAATCTCTGCTATCACCGTCACTTGATCCACTGACCAGTTTAATGATGGCTCCCATATCATCCTGGTCCGGGGTCTCATATACTGTTTAACTGTCTATGGCTGTCTGAGACCAAAGCAAGTGGAGTCCTTGAGAAATTCATTTTAAATATCATACGAAAAAAAAAAAGAAATAACTAACCAGTATCACATAACTAAACCTAAAGGTGTAACTGGTCCTAAAAAAAAAAAAGTATTTTGCAATATACTGTAGCTGTTATTTCAGTAAATGCATCTCTGAGCTCAGAGTCCAAAACTGAAATTATATAAGAATCGCTTGTATTCATGTCCCACTATCTCCTTGGTTTATTGTCCATATTTGGTTTGTCAACTTTCCTGTCATTGCTCTATCTAGTCTTCCGACCCACATGGAAAAAACTCTCTTGAAAAAGTGGGTTGAAAAAACAAAATGATTTATTAAATATGCAATTAAAAAGGATCCAGCTAGGGGACAGCAGAGGGACATGGCCAGGAAACTTTACAAGGACAGGCAGTATGAGGGGTGGCCTGAGATGCACTGAGCTGAATTAATTACATGGTCTTATTTTGGATGAGGGTTTTGGACCACAGGTCACAGATTAACACACCGCGGTCTGAATCCGGACCCACCTTCTGGCTAATCCCTACCCAATCTGATTTAAAACATTTATAAATTACTGCATGTTGTCTGACGGCAGTGTCTAACTTCACTTGCGCCAATTCTCCTGGTAATATGGTAAAGCCCTCTAGAGCATCCAGCACCAGGCTGCATATCATACAAATGATCCAATGAGCTGCTGTCAGTCTGGGTTGCTGCTGCTGCTACTTTTAGACACAGCAGGCAAACCTGTGGCAAGCCGGGCGATGGGAAAGAAGGAGAAGATGATGAGAAAAAGAGAGCAGAGAAAGACTGCTGGAAGAACTGTGGTGAACTGGTGAAAGAAAAGTGAAATGGTGCTCAAAGATGACCCTGAACATTTAGAGTATGTTTGGCTCAACCTGCTGCTGTGAAGCAGCCCCCTGGGTGTCAGATTAAAAAAACAAAATAAACAAAAGCCGGTGGAAATCCGTGGGCACAGATTGATAAACTGAGCTCTCGGTTTATGAACCCGTGAACTAGGATCAATAAACTGTGTGCCCTGCTTTGCATTCCGTGCGCACACATCTGCTCCAGAACCTTTAGAGTTCGATGCATGGGTCACACCTGCAAGGTAAGTTAAGTCAATTAATTGTTATATATATAAACATATAGACTTATTTCAGTGCAATACTTTAATGAGCATGCTTTAGAGCTTGAACTTGCATCGAACTCTGAAGATTCCGGAGCAGCTGTGTGCGCACGGAATGCAAAGCAGGGCACACAGTTTATTGATCCTAGCGCACGGATTAATAAACCGAGAGCACAGTTTCTTAATCTGCGTGCACGGATTTGAAAACTGCGCTTAGTTTATCAATCCGTGCACACAGATTTATATATGAGCAGCTTACTGTCATCACCTCTTTGTGATGTGGTCCACACTCCATACCAGTTGGTGGCGGTAATGCTCACCTAACGTTTTTTGCCAACCGCCAGTAAAACTCAATAACAAGAAGAAGAAGACCTCTTTGGCAGAGTGTTTGCCTGTTTTGGATACTCTAGCCCCTCTGAGCTTTTGTTGAGTCAATCTTTGAATTTTTCTAGTTAATTCGTGCTCTTACCCTTTTTGTTTTGTGAATCTTTGGCAGGAAACCTACAGGTCCTCTGGGATTTTTCAAGTCCTTCCAGCCCTGGAAGAAAACCTCTTGGAACGTTGAGAGTTCCACAACTCACCTCTTCTGAACTCCAACCATTTCAAGATTTCCAGTTGACAGTCTGCTCTGCTGCTCCTCTGTGCCACCATAAACCTTCCTGTCGGTCCTCCAATGACACTTCCACCTTCAACCAGCCAAGGCCTCCACAAACTGGAACCTCAGACCACCCCCCAAACTCAACCAGTGAGGCCAAGTAAGAACAGAGCTTCAGTCTTCTGCATTTTTTTCCCACCAACTTTGAAGCCACTTAATCACACTCTCCTTTGTGCAGTCGCATCTGGATTCCTGGCAGAGATAACCTGGTTTCTATCTCCTTGTTTTAAGAAAGAAAATAAACGTTCAAACTTTGACAATCTGTGTTTCTGCATGTGGGCAAAAAGTATTAGACCCATCATGACAAATGTCCTCTTTTGTTTTATGTAAAAAGTCAATGGATGCATAAACACGCCTTTTTATTCAGTGTTAAATTCTGTTTTAAGTAACAGATTATAATAAAAAATTTCTCTGGACCTTTACTGTTTTTTCTTTATTCTTTTATTTTGCTGATTTTAATTGGTGACCTCTGGTTTAGAGCCTTATGGAGATGTGAGTGGGTCTGAAGTTGGTGTGTGATTAAATGGAGACCCTGAGTGAGTGGACCTGGCTGACTGCATGTTTCTGAGATGGTCAATAGATCCACATCTTTCCTGCCTTGTAGTTGGCAGAGTGTAATCATATGGAACTGCTGTGAATCCACTGCAGCCTTAATGATCCCTGTGACTTGTGCCAACATGTACAAAGAAACCCAACTGTTATGGTTTGAACCAAAAGGAGTGTAAGCACCGTTTAGTGTAGCTACACATTGGAAATGTCCTTATTATAAACTTGTCTTAGCTTGTCCTTTCAGCTACATTGAAAGGGGGTTAAAAGAACACAAACACCACATCATTTAATGACATTATTTTATTGATCCAAATGTTTGAAGATGCAAAGTAAATCCTGTTCTTTCTTAGCATTTTAGTTTTAAAACATGGACAGCAAAACCTAGCTTATACCCTATCCCTTTAACAGAACCTCATCATATGGGAGAAGTAGTTCAAGATTTACAACACTGGGCTATAACTGATACAGAATCACCATTAGCTTTGATATTCAATTTACTAAAAAGCAAGGAAACTTATTCTAAGGTCATTTAAGTTCAAATCATACAGATTTGAACTTTACAGACTCCCTATATTGCTAATGATTAGAAAAACTCTGATAACATTGTCTCAATATTAACAAGGTTTAGATACACAATCAATATCACTGTATTGTAACCTACTGCAAGCGACATGCTGATGCTACCAAACCTCCTGCTGTGGCTCCTGCAACAGCTCCAATAGGACCACCTAGGGCCCTAAGAGCAGCTCCACCGGTTACCATAAGACTTGTAAAAAGAGCCCATTTAGATTCATTTTCTGCTTTTCTGATCGCCTCTTTAACATCTATTCCCTGGATTTGGTTCATGATGAACACAACAATTTTTCGTTTGACTCTTTGAGCTTCTTGAAGCATCTCATTGGTGTAGTAGGTTCCTACATTTTGCTGAACCATCCTGTTAACTTTCTTAAGCAGCTCTCTAACTTGGGACGGATCCTTGGATCGGTTGTTGAACAGATGACGCTCTCCTCCACACTGAGAGATGAATCTCTGGAGAGATGGGTTATTCTTTATAAAATTATTTATATCAACCCTGTTCTCCTCCAGATCGTCTCCATGAGTGAACAGCACCATGGTGTAACTTTTTGCCTTCTCTCCAAAAATCCTCTTGATGAGTTTCACTGTTTCTTGTTCTTCTTCTGTGAATCTGCCTGCCTGGACCACAACTAGAAAGACGTTAGGACCAGGAGCGCAGAATATCATGCATCTTGCAATCTCATCTGTGACATCCTTCTGACACATACGTGTATCAAACAGACCTGGAGTATCAATTACAGACAGATTCTGACCCTCAAACTCAGCTGTTTCCTTCTGACACACTGATGTTACTGAGGAGGGGCTGGCTGTAGATTTGAAATATTTCTTTCCCAAAATGGTGTTTCCTGATGCGCTCTTCCCAGATCCAGTTCTTCCAACTAGCACCATCCTGATGCACTTCTCTTCTTCTTCTGTTAGAGATATAGATAACCATATATTGTTTTAGTAAGAAGCATTCATACCATGACATCTGCTGTTTGTAGTTTATGATCCTGAAGAATTTTTGAAAAAATCTTAATATCATTGTGAGGAGTTTGGTTCTAAAACTACTGCCTTATTTAAACATAAGACGGCCATGAGACACTCTGTCTGTATGTGAATGATGGTCGATGTGCAAACTGTGGACTGCTAAAAAGCTATTGCTCTGAGGTCATAGAAAATATAACCTTGAGATGGCAGCCGGACTATCTGCGACAGGAATTTACTGCTGAGTGTGTGAAATTTAACCGCTTTTCCTTTTTCTTCTACTGTTCCTGAAACAACTATGACTACCTGAATCTAATGCAAAATACAAATGTGTATCATTAGACAGATTGAGTAAACCATTAGGGCTGATTCCTTGGGGGGAAAAAAGCTTTTAAGGGTACAAAACCTTCTGGAAATCATTAATAGTAAATTCTGTCTCCATTGCACTGTCAATGGTGCTTCTGGGGTGATTTTAGATTTTTGACAACACCACTACAGCAAGTTATGTACCTGTGTACAGACCCTTCCAGGTTGACAAGGTTTGTTATGTAGAGTCCATCAAAACCAACCCAGTCTCATGGGAAAATGTACCCCCACTACCTTGGTCCACACTGCAAAACGTAGTGGAGGTACATTAATGGCCATTTTTTTGTGGTACTGTTACATTTCTTTTGCCTATAAACTTTCTATTGTTTTACGTCCTAGTCACGTGACTTTCAAGATTCCAGCTGGGAGAAGAAAAAAATATTTATAGATGGCCGACATTCGCTCATTTTTTTGTGGAAAGATTAATAACTTGAGTTTGTTTCAACATTGAATTCTTTGTGATTTAACTCCATCTGACGGATCAAACCCTCGCCACTGTGTGCGTTGCGTCTGAGGTTGATTTTCAGATCAATGCATTACGTCGTGGCATACGGCAGAAAATAATGTTGACAAAATGATCATGGTTTAAGATCGGATGTGTTTTATTTGGAAATCTACCGGATCCTTTGTACATTTAACTTCCTGTGTGGTGCAATCTCATTGATGGATTTTGACCAGATTTTGACCAAAGAGGAACTCAAAAAAAACAAAACAATTTAAATACACAACCAGCATATCTGGAATCAATGACAGAGAGCGACTGGGACCAGAAGTTTATTAATTTCTCCCCATTGTTTTCCATTCAAAATGTTTTCGCTCCCACCGGGCTCTAGGGAAGGGGCGTGCATACCGCCACCTACTGTTCATGAGTGTGTAGCAACATTGTTTTACATCTATTAAATTCTATTTTTTTATTTTGTATTCTGAAGATAAATAAATACTGCTTTCCTTAATCTATAAATATCTTTTATATTTCCTTTGTTTCCCAATAATCCTTTAAGACTCCATTCTTGGCCTGTCCTTTCAACTCTTTTCAATTTCTTCCTTTCAGGTCCAGATGTTTTACAGTTCATCAATACGTGTTCTACATTTTCTATCTCTCCACATCCTTCACATTTATCATTATTTGTCCTCCCTATTAAGTATAAATTGTCATTTAAATAAGTATGACCTACTTGTAGGAGCAGATTATGAATTTCTGTATTCCAAATGGTTTGGGTCACATGATCTGTCAGCTGTCTACATAAGTATCATCCGGTGTTGATGAGGACAGGTGTGTTCCACCCGAAAGGGGGAAACAGTTTTTGACTGCAACGCAATACTACCGATACAGAAGTGAAAGCTATATGGATCGCAGAAACAATGTATGCGGTGTTATTGTCAACATTGCCGAGTCATGGAAATAAATGGATTACCTGCACTAACATCAAGGACGGCTCTCATTTCAATTAAGCGGCTAAGTAATCGGCGTGTCAACTTTACCCTGGTGTACCACCTCAGGGGCTTAAAGCTTTGGCTTAGCCTCTATACAAAAGTCAAAAACTGTTTATGAAAAGAACTGATCGTGGAGAAGGAACTTTGGATGGCGTTTGTCTACGACGAGGGACGCAGATGGAGCCTGTGTGTTGGGAACGGAGCGTCAGCTGATTGGCATCAGCTCATCTGCAGCCTGGGGTGACGTCGGACAGGATCGGCGTTCAGGAGGACACCTGGGATTTCCTCGTTGCTGGATTTGAAATGCACGCATCAAATAGGTATGTGTAGCACTACAATTAGTAAGATGGCCATCTGAATCTAAATCTAAACGTGTGCAAACATAATGGCATAAATCCAATGCATTGGTTGCTGAAGTGGAGGAACAATTAACTTTGTATCAATTAACTGGTTGCAATCTATTGACTGACGGACTTTTATTATGGAGGATTGCATAGCGGACGTGGATTTACCAGCAGGTGCTAGTGCGCCATCTACTGCTGACAAACAGGACTTTCTGACCAGCAGTTGTGACACACAAATGGGCAAACGAGTGGTTAAACTTTCTGCTAAAGCAATTGCCAATCGGTTAGATCGGTTGCAAGCTGATAGAAAGGCTAATCTAAATAAAGCTAGCAATTTAAAGGAAAAGATACAAGAGTTGATGCAAAATGGTTTGGTATCAGAAGTTCAAACGTTTCTTGATGGTTACATTGACTTGTGTGTTGAAATAAGATGCATACATGATTCATTAATGAATTTATTGCCGGTTGAGGAGAAAGAAAAACATGAAATATGGTTTAAAGCAAAAATGTTGTTCACTGATGAATTTGCTGAAAAGGTGAAAAGGTGGGTTAAATCAAAAGAAGATGATGAACTTAAAAATGAAAGTGTTGGTCATTTAAATATTGGTGCTGATATTAATCATGATGGGTTGGATAACGATGATATTATGCCTAATGATAGTGTTTCTAATGTGTGTAAACATTATAGTAAAAGTGTTACCAGCAATCGGTCAAGTACAACTTCCTCTGCACAAATAAAAGCTGCAGCAGAGCGCGCTGCACTGGTTGCAAGAATGGCTGTTTTGAAGGAACGTCATGCACTGGAGGAACAGGAGCAACTGATAAAAAGGAAAAAGGAACAGCTTGAGCTAGAAACTGAGCTAGCTGCGTCTACTGCAAAGTTGGCAGTTCTGCAGGCTTCTGATGAACAGTGTCTTTCCCGTGCACAAACTGACGGAATGAACTCTTATTTTGAAAGGCAAAAAATGAAACTCACATCAGATAAAACTCTTAATGCCATGGCAAAGGATTATTATCCTGCAGCATGCAAAGTGATGCAGCAAAGAAATGCAGTACCAACACCAACCAAATAGGAAACAATGGATGTGCGACCAAAACGGACTGAAATGAAAAGTTCTGTGAGCAAGCAGCATTTTGATGCACATGATCAAATGGACTTAAAAAAATCATATGTTTTACAACATGATGTAAAAACTTCTTGTGAAAATCAAACCAGACAAAGAATAAGTCATCAAACTGATCAAGTTCAAAATGGAGATGTTGTCACTATTATGCATAAGCAAAATGAAATAACTGCTGCACTTGTGCATCAACAGCGTCTACTGTCTTGACCACCACGAGACATTCCAGTGTTTGAAGGAGATCCATTTCAATATAAAGCTTTCATTAAAGCGTTTGAACATGGAGTGGAAAACAAAGCCAGCAAAGCTGACTGTCTGTATTATTTGGAGCAATTCACTGCAGGACAGCCTAAGGAACTGGTCCGCAGCTGCCAACATATGGATCCTGAACGTGACTACATTGTAGCAGGACCATTTTGGAAATGAATACAAAATAGCAACTGCTTATATAAACAAAGCTCTGAACTGGCCATCAATAAAATCAGAGGATGTTAAAGCTCTACTAGCTTATGCTTTGTTTCTACGAGGATGTTGCAATGTGATGGAAGAACTTCATTATATGCAGAAGTTGGATATGCCAAGTAACATGAAAATGGTCCTTTCCAAGCTTCCATACAAACTCAGAGAGAGATGGAGAGCTGTTGCTCATGATATTTTGGAATCATATGACCACAGAGCTCATTTTATTGATCTGGTTGTATTTCTGGAGAAACATGTGAGGATCCTGTCTGATCCAATTTTTGGTGACATTGAAGTGTATGCACCACAACATACAGCTGGCCTGAGGTCTTCCAGCAGCTTCCAGCTACAGTCAAGGATCAGAAGTAAAGGGAGTAGTTTTTCTACCACAGCAACATCAGTGGATTACTCTGAAGATGGATCAAAGACACAAAAGCCATACTGTCATTGTTGTTCATGTGCTCACCTTATAAATAAATGCCAACAGTTCAAAAACAAGAAACACAGAGAGAAAATCCGTCTTTTGTTTTTTTTTTTTTGTTTTTTTTTTTTTACAGTGTCCTGTCTGGCAAGGTGGCAATAAGAATAATTGTCTTGATGCCAAAAGGAGCCCAACAGATTTTACTTTCACAAGTGTAGCGGTATCGCAATTGCCATACTGCTCCACTTGTTTCATGTATATAAATTGCTTTATTATAATTATGCAGGGAGTTTTACAGTTCATATGGACACTGCAATGTAAGTAGAGCAGAAAAACAGAAGAAGAAGAAGGAAAAAGAAAAAAACAGGACAAAAGATGAAAGAAAGAGGAGATAGGAAGGAGACAATGACAAAACATTTTCAGTCTGCTTCAACACCTGTAATGAGATGGAAAAAAAAAAAAAAAAAACAGCACAACCAAAAAACATGGTACGAGATATACAATAAAGCAAACACCTTGAAACTGTCGCTAAAGTAATATTATTAAGTCTGACATGTACTCTGTGTTACCTGAAGATATGAATGTGGGGTTTCTGTTTGGAAGTGAATCTCTAAGTACCTGAAGCCTAGCACCTGTAGTTGTTTGTGAGGGTGAACTTGTGCATGTAAAGTTTTAACCATAGAAAAAATGCTCAATAGTGGTTGTGGAGAGCCGGAGAGGCACACCCCCCAGAGCACTGAGTCCAGCGCCGGGAGACCCAAAGCCCCAGGCGCCCAAGGGGACCCCAGAAGGGAAGGCAC